TACAGGATCGTTGTTTGGATCACTGCTTGCGTGGGATCTTTGCCTATGCCGGGAGCGCTTTGACTCGTGGACCACCAAATCATAGATTCTGATTGAATCGTGAGGGGTTTAGTGATTCTTCCTTCATTTATTGAAGTGAGAATTTGAAACGAAGATCTTATCAAAGTAAGACGATCGTTCTTCTTAAGATCAAGTCAAAGCTCGAATATCAAGAAATTGCCAGAAGCTCAAGTACTCTGCTCTGTTTGCTCCAAAATGCTCCGCCTTCCTTTATTTCGTGTCTAGGGAGGTATTTATAGGGGTAGCAGTGCATAACAGTGGAAATGGGGGCGAGATAACTGACCAAACAACTGTTCTTTGGCCGCGTCAGTCCATGCTGCCGCGGCTATTGGCGCGACAGTATGGACTGCCGCGGCCAAAGGAGCGGTTACCACCACGTTTCATCGTGCTTGAAACTGTTCTCTCATGACATTTAACCACCTTTTTCGTGGTTTAACTGCTTGTCCACGTCAGCACACGTTCTATTTCTGATATGCCGTCACGTGGGCTTCAAATAATCATCGTATAACTGCATTGTAACCGCCACAGCACCCCCTATAATAGCCGTGGCACCATGGGCTGTCGCGCCTTAGCCGCGGCACCATGGGTTGTCGTGCCTCAGCCGCGCCGCCATGTACTGCCTGTTGGTGTGTACATTGGATGTCTGTAAGCATTTTTTGACGCCTACACAACTTACCTTATATAAGTGATAAAAAGGACAGTTTTAAGTGCAATTTAGTCTTCTTCTTTTTTTTTTGGGCCCCTCATTTTGTCTTCAACAAACAGAACCGGTCAAATCCCTTGTCCGAGTTGACGGCCAACCCCAGGGTTTTACCCACTTGCACGGTAGGCGATACAAGCAACTGGTGCTACGAAAGTTCGGTGTTCATTGTCAGCGCTAAAACAGAAACGCACGCAAATCCTGACCGCAAATTGCTACGTCAACTATTTTCTAAACTTTAAAAATATCAGAAAACCCCCTTATATTTAGCGGTTATCAAAAAACCCCTTTAACTTCAAGATTTCTTTATAATAAACTCCCTATGAGAGTGAACCCCAATTAATTGAGAGTAACATGTTGAAATCTTCAAGTTAAAAGGGGTTTTCTAATAATCATCCAAAGTTAAGGGATGTTTTCCAATATTTACCCAATCTCTTTTTTATCGATGCCGTAAAGAATTTGGGCTATAGAAACCGGGGAGATAACTTTTTTCAATAATACACTTAATCGTTTTTTCAATAAATACGCCTGTAATATCAAAGGATTGTTATTTGTTCCCACAACTAAATATTGTCTCCCCCTCGCATTGCAGTCGTCTTCAATTTCTATTCAAGGCAAATCACAGTCATCCATTGAATGATTGGTGGGAATGATAGTGATGGGGGCGCGCCGCATATATATATTATATATATATATATATGATATATATAATATATATATATATATATTATATATATATATATATATATACTATATAGAATATGGGTATGCTTGGTCGAAGCATAAATTTTGTGCTTGGTAGTGCATGTGTCAATCCCCATCACTCATGTACCCATGTAGAATGTGGTCGGCACATTTTGAATGATGGGGGAATGTGAGCGACCTCACTACAAGCACACTTTTTTGTGCTTGGTACAAGCATACATATTTCTCTATATATACTAAACAAAGAAGCGAAATATGGGTATGCGCTTGGTACCAAGCAAAAATTTGTGGGGCTTGGTAGGTGATGTGTCACATCCTCATCACATCACCACGGCCATGTAAATTTGTTTCACATTTGAATGAGTGGAGGGGATTTGACACCCACTCACCTCACTACCAAAAGCACAACTTTTTGTGCTTGGTACCCAAGGATACCCATATTGCGCCTGCTCTTCTCTCTTCTCTCTCTCTATATATATATATATATATATATATATATATATATATATATATATATATAATATATATATTATATAGAGAGAGAGAGAGAGCATATGGTGTATGGCACTTGGTACAATCACAAAGTATGTGCTTGGTAGTAGGGTCAACATAACGATACAAATCAAATATCAAATATGATACTACATTCAGCATGGATAGTGAGTGGATGAGATGTGACAACAGTCGGCTACTAAACACAAAATATTGTGTTATGTATACAACATACCCCATTTTTCTCATATATATATATATAATATATATATATATATATAATATATATATATATATATATATATATATATATATATTATATATATAAATCCTCTCGGATCATCAACATTGTCCATGCTGCATTATGTATTAATAGAATAGTCTCAGAAAATGATGTATAAGCTTACAAAGAGCAAATAATTTCGATGCGATTTGCAGAGCTTTCAGGCATACACAGCACCAAGTCAAGATACTACATTATAACTCCGGATACAATTTTTGTTAAGTATCGCAATACACTACAACTGCTAGAACCGGAGAGTTTACAGTAAATCACTGCCATAACGACACAAAAGAAACTCGCGAACTGGAGAACTCTCGCTATTTTGCAAAGTACTCTCAAGTTGGTACACACTAGAGACCAATAATTCAATTCAAACAAGTGCAAATTACAAAATTGTACAATCAAATGCTTACAAACCGATAACTCATCAAATATACACCAACCAACATCAATATATCTTCTCTGTAGCACACACCATTATTAATTTTCTGAGCAAAAATCACAACTCAATCTTCTTTCCATGCTCAAGTCATAAAATAATAACACACAACATAAAAGAATTTCCAGTAGTTGATGCCGAATGAGATCTACAGATGGAAAGACAGAAATTTCAACTTTTGTCCTCGACAATAGTAACCCCAAAAGCAACCCGTATCTTGGCATAAATGTAGCAAATAGATTTCACCATTTAGAAAGCACTCCAGCTATCAGTCTCTTTTCTTGGAGTATGGCTTTCGGTAGACTTGAATGGTCCAGTTGAGCCAAAAGGGTCTCCATCATCAAAAGAATAACCAGTACTGCGATCATAATCACTTGTACTTCGGATCGAATCGAACCTTGAAAGGCTCTCTCGTTGTTGGAATAATCCACTATCGTGCATATTGAAGGAATCAAATCGGCTTGAAGCGTCGAAGGAGTGGTTGGTTGATCTGTCATTAAAACTAGGAGGGGAGGCAGAATTGAAAAGAGGAGAGCTCGGAACAGAATCCGCGAAGATTGAGTTTCTCTTTTCTTTTCCAAAGTCACTGCTAGCACTTGGTGAGTCTACTTTGATTGGGTTTAGACCAAAATCTCCGGATCCAAAGGCGTCCTGTAAATAAGATAAAGGCACCTAACTATTGAGACACGCTATCA